TACAATGATTTACAATAACACATTTAAAAAAAATTTTTTTAGTTGTAGATGGTTACAACATCTTTATTTATTTCTTTTTATATGGTGTTGGGGATTAATCTAGTACCTAACACGTGCTAGGCTAGCACTCTATACCACTGAGCTACAACCCCAGCCCTTCAACTACACATTTTATCTTTCAACACAATGGATATTTTCACTACTATTTAAATGAAAACCATTTTTCTGCAATGTCAGAAGACAATTCTGTGGCTGTTACATTATTTCTACCTCTGGTAACAAAGTTTCTGAAAGAAGTGTGCCACCAGAATACTCCCTATTCTCTATAGAGGTATCATAGCAAAAAAATAAAAATAAAAAAAAATCCTAATAAAATGGAAAATTTGTGGACTTTTCTTGTAAAGAAGTCTAATACCAAGCAAGGATCAGCTAAGGGTTTACTGAAACACCCACAGCACAGGAAGAAATTAAAACCAAAAACAGTGAAGAAGCAAAAGATAAAAGTTGGAGAGAATACAGACTATGAACAGTGTCTCCCATAACAGCAACAGATGTCATTTGGTGGCACCTGTGCCACCTTTTTTATAATAGGATTTGACCTGTTTGACTGGTATTCCCTATGGTTATGATTATTCTACTTTCTCATCTTGCAAAACAACTCTGATGATGTCTTCTCTACTGGTAGTTTAATACTTCTCCTACCCTAGTTTTCTAACCCTGTTGTTAATCCATATTTCTACTCTTCCAAAACACCACTCTTTTGAAGTATATTATACCTCATCTAAGATCTCATCTATAGCCTATTCTCACTCTCCCCCCTCCCCTACCAAAGCAACTATATTCAACTCACCCTTTTCCTTCTACCGCACCTAAGTGTTAAAAGTTTTTCAAAATCTTTCATTTTATCATAAATCAAATTTCTAAAATCCAATTTTTCTTCAAATTTAGTGGTAAATTCCTAATGCTCTTCAGCCTAGAACCTCCATATTTAAGTTCAATCCTCACTTTTGTAAAATTTAAGAAAGTATTTTAATTTGGATAGGAGTCATGTTAATTTACTATTAGGAAAAAATGACATCTTCATTCTAACAACAGCAGCAAAGAAAAAACCCACAAAACATCCCCTTTCCTATAAAGAGATTCTGCCTCTCATCTGTTATATTTCTACAACTTGAGACTAATTCAGTCCCCTTGATATTGAATTCCCCTTTTCTTGTTCTTACTGAGGTTTCTTACCTCATATCCTCATTTCTTACTCTTTTGAAACTGCCACATTGCTCCCTCATTTCCCACCATGCCACCATTTCAATGCTAGACTCTCTGGCCCTTTTTTCCTGAGAAATTAAAATTCAGCTAAGAGAAAACTAATTTTCATTTACATGAGAAAAGATCTGTAGCTATGTATTTTAAAAACTGCTCAGTCATGGTCTTCTACCACCAATAAAGGTAGACAATAAACTCTTCCTAGTGTCAAGGTCACAAATAACTGCTACACTCCCAACCACACTCATTCAGCAATACCCAGCAGCCATCCTGAGTTTCTATAAAAACCAACAGTTCTATTTTCAAAGAGAGTGAACATAATGCTTCCTTGAAGATATTCTCCAGTCTCCCCACGGCAGCTTTTAAATGGAATGAATAATTATCWAAAGGAGAAAGAAGGAAACTGAGGCTAGTGAAGTCCTTCTTCATTACCACATCCCSGCCTCCAAGACACACACACCTTTCAGTCCCTGGCTCCTATGAATCCTAACACTTGCTTTATTTACCTGGGAAAAACTGACAATAATGGGACAAGATTAGCTCTGGGGTGGGCTGGGGCTATGGCTCAATGGTAGAGCACCTGCCTCATACATGTGAGRCACAGGATTCAATCCTCAGCCACCACATATAAGTAAATAAAATTAAGTCATTGTGTTCATCTACAACTAAAAATATGTTTTTTTTTTTTAATTGGCTCTGAGGAATCTTAAAGGGACACCAGCTCCTATGAATCCCCCTTTTTGCTTATTTGATTTTTGGCTGGAAGTATGTAGCTTATTTAAACATTATGTTCATTCTTTTTCTTTTCTCCTTTCTTCAAAGAACTAAATTCATCACAAGTTGTCTACCATGAATTCCCCAACCCAAGGATAAGTTCTTCTGATTGTGCTGATTTATAAAATAGAAGAGACAYTGCACAGAACACACACTGCTCTTCCCATTCTAAGTACACCCCACTTCATCACACTTTTCTAATCTTACTGCTAAGACCTTATTTTGGAACTTATGAGTTCCATTATCCTGGTACAGAGTAATTTTTCTAATAGATAGCTATGAACATGTGGATTCCCTTCTAACAAATAATCTCAGATTCTCTGTCTACCTATTTTAACTATAAACTACAGATCATAATATTTGACATCCTCTTAAATATGGTCCCCTTATTAAATAGACTTTCACTGAACACATTGAATATATAAAATAGTACATCCCAATTTTTGCTTCTTTGCACTTGTAACTACCTTATATTGTATTTCTGTTCATGTTTACTGTCCTTCTACTAGACTAAACCCTTCCATGTTTACCCTTGTGTTTACCAGTGTACCTTCCACATCTAGAACATAGGAAGCTTTCAATACATATTTGTGACCAGACATGCAGCACAGTACAGCTGACTTGAAGTCAGAAGACCTACATTTGAACTACAGTTTCGGCATACAAGCTATACAATTCTCAGCCTTTTTCACTTCAACCATTTCAAACTTTAAATAAGTATATAGCTTATTTAAACATTATGTTCATTCTTTTTCTTTTCTCYTTTCTTCAAAGAACTAAATTCATCACAAGTTGTCTATCATGAATTCCACAACCCAAGGATAAGTTCTTCTGATTGTGCTGATTAACAAAATAGATCACTTTCCTAATCTGAAAAAGGAAGGGGTCAAACTTGATRAAACTCTATGTAAGCTTTTCCAACTGAAAACACCCCTACGTTCTAGTTTAACTGAACAACTCTCTCTCTCTCTCTCTCTCCTATTTAAATATCTTGCTCAGTTTCACTGCATTTGGAAACTCCTTATCCACACCTGTCAGAATACTGTTTGAATCCTTAAAGTTCATTATAAGCGCTATTTTCCTCTTAAAACCTAACAAACTGTAAGCCTGTAAAAGGAGGGTGGAGTTCTAACTTTCTATTCTTAGCAGCTGGTACACTGCCTCTCATATAGGTGACCAACTAAACAACTAATGAATCATGAGTATATGAGTGAGTGAATGAATACAGACAGCTTTTCCTGATTCCTCCAACTGCTCAGATAGGTAATCTCCTGCCTTTGGACTCATAACATTTGGTATCTTTCAGGGTACTGTGCTATTATTAATTTACTTGCCTAATAGATATTAAAATGCAAATTCCTTAAGATTAAGGACTGTCATGATGTTTTCCATATCCCTCTTCAGTACCTACCATTGCTCTTTGCCACAGCTGTACTTTTTAAGTTTATCTGATAATTAAACAATAAAGGGATAATAGAGAAATTGCCTCAATATACAGATATCATTCCAAGTGTGTCCTATGGTCATTGAGCATGTAAGTTGCTTTATACAAAGGCTTTCAAGCATAGTTCAAAGATCTCATCATTCTCTCCTTTCCATTCTGTGCTTAATAATGCTAATTTCAAAGTAGAATAGCCACCCTTTGTATCACCTATCACCCTTTCTTACAATATATATAGAGGTCCACAATCAATAATTTCACTTCACTAAACAGCTAAACTGACTTTTCTGCTAAATTCAGACTTCCATCCCATCCAATTCCCTCCTCCACAAGGTATGAAACCACTTTTTAAAAAACATCTTCCTATAATGCCTTTCTTAGTTCTGCTCCTGCAAGACAAAAAGGACCAGTTTTAAGATCTTCTCCTTTTCTAAGTAGTAGCAAAGCAACACACAAATTAATCTAAGCTTATTTTTTATGTACCATCAAGATTTTTGACCCTCTTTAGCTCTACCTCCAAGTTCTTATTCAGCTTCCTTTCTTGCTGCATGATAGCTGAGGTCTTTATATTCAACATGCTCTCTGCTATCAGGTACTAAGTTCCATTGTATCTGTATCTTCTCCTTCTTGAAATGTTCATCAATAGCTGCCATCTGCCCACCCCAGACACACACACACATATCTCTCTCTCTCTCTCTCTCTCTCTCACACACACACACACACACACACACACACACACACACAATCCATGTGTCACTGTATCTCGGACATACAAGTTCCTTACACCACATTTAATGAATGCACACGACTCTCAGAATGGTATCTTCCAACTACACTGATTCCAACCCAGTTTCTTCTAGGGAACACAAGCTTGTTCATAGAGAGTGCCTCCCTCTCCTCACTTCCCCATTCATTCCCCGCCTTCATATTCCCCCCACCTGGTCAACTAACTACAGATGAAATTAATTCTCACTTCTCCCAGCCCGCGAATGAAGAAGGAGCTCTAGTTTCCTGCCGTCTACCCCCCTCCGGTCTGCCCCCCCCCCCGGCACCCCAGGTGTGCCGACTTCCACCCAGTCCTCTCCGCATGCATCCCTCCAACCAATCCCACACCGCACCACGTTTCCCCAGCCACAGAGATCGGACTCTTCCACACCCACCTCCACCTGGGGTCGCAGATGCCTTCCCAGGCGTCTCTCCCCACCACWCGCCGGCGAGCCCGAGACCCCGGGCGCGCGCCAACACACATTCTCACGCTTCCCCAACCTCCCTCCTCGCACCGGGACCGGCCGGCTTCGCTGGAGCTCAGCCTGGCCGGCAGGAGCTAGACACCCTTGCAGGCATGTGGGTGCCCGCTCCGCCCCCTCCCGCAGATCCCCTCGGAGCCCCCGCCTCCCAGCCGGGGAAGAGGAGGACGCAGCAACTCCCCCACCACCCCGGACRTACCACCTCTGTGTCTGTTGCCTCTTGCCCTAACCCTCCGCCCGTTCCCACCACGTCCTGGGCAGGCCTGGGCACTCACCGGAGATACTGCGCGCTCTGCAGGCTCATCCTCCGCCGCCGCGTCTTCCCGCGAAGCCTCCGTGGGTCTCTCAAGCTCCTCGGAGCGGCCCCGCGGCACCGCGGGTGCTGGCGGCCGCCGCCATCTTCCTCTCCTCCGGCTCCTCCTCACTCGGCGCGGGGGGGGGGGGGAGGGTGAGTGAGGCGAAGGGGAGGGAGCGGGGAAGGCTGCTCTAGCTGCTGCTCTTGGCCCGTGGGGCGCAGGGACACTCCGACCCGGGAGGGGGAAAGGGGAGGGAGAAGGAAGGGGGCGGGGGAGAAAGGAGGGAGAAACAGAGGAAGGAAGTGGGGCTTCTCTCGCGAGATTTCAACAGCGCTGGTCCTTCAGGGTGACTTCCGTCTTTCTGTACCGCTCCCTCTTGGGAACCACAAGGCGTGTGGCGCCTTTACGGCTKCTGCGGTATCTGCTGGTGGCGCTTGGCGGCTTCCAGCGGATCCACCCCTCTTCTCCCGCGCGAGGAGGCAACCCCAGCCTCACCAGGAACATCGAGCCCAAATCGACCGGGAGTTGCACTCAAAGTCTTCCCCCCGTCTTTCCACTCCACCCGATTTCTCTCTTCCTTTTTCCACTCCTCCACTCTTCCCCGCCGGAAACGCCGCTCCTTCCTCCTACAGTTCCGCCCGCCAATCCCTCGATTCTTGTCTTCCCTCGCGCGCGAGTGACGCGAAGGCCTCCTTCTTCTCTGCTGCCCCTCCCCATGCAAACTGGGAGACTTTTGGAGGAGGTAGGGTGGAAGAGAAAGGAAACCAWCCGGATTGGATAAGCAGCTGTCATGGCAACTGGAGGCTGTGGTTGTATCGTCATAGTAACCGGAGTGTGCGGACCGGGTGACCCTCCCCTTGGCGAAAGGATTCCCGGGAAACCGCCCAGGATTCCCCCTCGACTTCCCTTCCATCCCCAGGCCACCCTGGTGTGGGAATCGAGGTAGTTTTCCCGGGCAGTGAAGTCAGTTTCCTCCTCCCTTCCCTCCTCCCTTAGCAATTGTGGGGAGACCCCGAGGCAGTCACCGTGGGCATTTCCACCCGGTTGCGGGCGGGAACCACCTCCATAGTTTCCTCTCTGAGCCGAGCGTGGAGTGGGCCCGGCCTGCGAAGAAGATGCCGGGCCTGAAGGCTGGCGGGTGGTGGGCTGGAGCGGGCAGGGCGAAAGCGAGGCTGCGACGCCGGGCTGCGCGGGAGGGCGAGGGGTTTCCCCACAACTGCCTCGGGCTCAGGGAGGCGGGATCCCGCCTGGACGGGGTCCCTGAGGGAGGAGAGCGGCACACGACAATAGCGATCCCTCCTCCGCCGACAAGCACATCCGAGTTTTCCTGCCAGCAGACCCCTTCCCGAAATCCCCTCCGCCCCACCCCACAGGACACCGTCGGCGACAGAGAGTCCGACAGCCTGCGGGACTAGACCCGCGAAGGTGGAAACACGTCCTAGAAAGCTGACAAGTGGTACTCAAGCCTTTGGAATCCAGGACGGTCGGAGGGGGGGCTTATTACTGCCCTCCCTCTTAGAAGGGTTCGCAGTAAGGATCCCGGCTTGATTATTAAAAGCCGCTTTTCAAGTCCCTCCTCCCAGGAGTCTCAGTATTTTAGAACTTGACACCCTGTAATTTGGGGATCAGAGAGAAAATATTGACTAAACTAGTGTTGGCACGAAGGTCCAATGAAAGGAGTCTAAGGAAAGAATTTTCCATTATGAACAACTCTTTTTGAACGTCTTATGTGCATTTTGTGTCAGGTACAGGGCTAAAACGCAGTCAATGTATTGTAGAGTGTATGAGAATTGCTGGAGAAGTCGTCATGCTGACAGCTTGAATAAATTGACGTTTTCCAAATTTTATTTTCAGTTCATCTTGTGGAGTCATGTAAGCAGGTATCCCAAAATACTTGAGAATAAATAATGGTACGCAACCTTTAGAAATGCACCCCTCACTGGATAGTTAAAACCAAGATTTGAATGCGCAGTTTTKGGTTTGGTTTGAGTATCAGATTCCTGCCATCTTTCCAAGCTAGCTGAAGGGGCACTTTGAAATCCTTCCCTGGGACCGCACCCACTAAAAGACCGGCCAAGGTTTATTTGGAACGTCATGTTTAAGTTGGGGGGAAAGAAAAGTACAGCCTACTTTGAAATAAATCCCAAGGACAGGTTGTCACTAACGAAATAGAAAAGGAAAGTACTGCCAAATTTGAAATAAATCCCAAGGACAGATTGTCATTAAGGAAATAGAAAGTGACCTGTGCCCCTCGTGCTGCAAACAAGCGCCTAGTATGATGCGCGATGACGCGCGGTGATTGCGGCAGTACATTGCCCCCAATCATCCCTCTGACACCAAGGCGCCGCCCACTCCTGGGAAAGAGAGCCACCTAGTGAGAGATTGGTCACATCTCCKATGTAGCATCTTGCTTTTCCTTAAGTCGTGAGAGCCCCAAAATGGGCTAGTTTGTTCCTACATAGTTTGTTCCCCTGAGTTTATGGGTTAGATGCCCATAAACTTTTATGTTTGTGTAAAATAATTACTCCTTTGCTATTATATCTCAYGTCTGGGGCACATAAAGCCAGTGAACAGTATATGAGCAGATCTGGTACACTTACGATATAAAATTTATGAAAATATTACTACTGTTATTAAATATTTTGGAAACAAAATGGAATCAGAAAGATGAAACCTTTTGTAATAGTTTGCTGATTGATGTTCAATAAGCATTTACTGAGCACTTATATTTCAGGGACTGTCCAGGTTATTATGAATACTATGATGAAAGAAACATGTTCCCAGTCCTGAAGAATTCATCTTCTGGTAGAGATATTGTAGTAGATAAATGATTAGGAGGTAAAATAATAGGTGTAGTAATTGAGGTAAGAACAAAATAAGAACACTGATGAGGTCAGAAATAATAAACTAAGACTTTTACAGGGTTTGTTAATGCTTTACAATATCCCTACACACTAGATAGGACAATAGCAACATCACATTTATGCTAATCTTTTTTTAAAAAAAACATTTTTTTTAACTTTTGGAAGTAGTTGGAAATAATACCTTTATTTTATTTATTTATTTTTATGTGGTGCTGAGGATAGAACCCAGGGCCTCACATGTGCTAGACAAGCACTCCATCCCTGAACCACAACCCCAGCCCCACATTACGCTAATCTTAAAAATAATTTAAAAATATGATTCAGAAAAATATATTATCTGAAACTTACATATATTGCTAATGCACATTTTATTGTCTCATCTCCTTCTACTGTCCAATTTAACAGACTTGATCWTCATCCAGTGAAGTAAAAATCATAGAATGCAAACATTTTTCTGCATTAGGTTTTATTCACCTTTTCCCCTTGCAGCTGTAAATTAAATCTAAATCAAAAGAAATTGCCCTATTTCCATTAATCCTACCGGATTTTAAATTATTTGGTTTATCTTTCTGACTCAAGTGATTTTGTGGAAAGTTCATAAGTAACAGGTCTGAGTGTGTCCCAGCTCTATCATCATGACATCTAAACTTCAGTTTGCTGAGGACATTACCTATCACAGGCTTCCTGTGAAGTTTAATAATGATATATTTTGACTGTTACAGCAACTGAGGTTGAGGCAGAAGGATTGCAAGCTCAAGGCTAGCCTCAGCAACTTAGTGAGACAGTCTTAAAATAAAAATAAATAAATAAAAAGGACTATGGATATGGCTGAGTTGCTAAGTGACCCTGGGTTCAGTCCCCAGTACAAAAAAAAAAAAAAAGATACATATTGACTGAATTTATAACATGTATAACACTGGCACATAATAAACATTCATTTCCTCTGCCTTTTTGCTCTTTAATATCAAGCTAAAATGAATAATTTAGGACTTCTGCAACATAAAATTATTTTTTATCTTTTAAATGAATTCATTTTTTTAGTTGTTGATGGACACAATACCTTTATTTTGTTTATTTTTATGTGGTGCTGAGGATGGAACCCAGTGCCTCACAGGTACAAGGCAAGCACTCTAATGGTGAGCCACAACCCCATCCCCTAAATAAAATTATTTTTAAAAATATTTTTTAAATAATACTATAGTCTTTGTGCATAATACTCATAGATCTGAGCATACTTCCAAAGCTATCATTTGGTGGTAGAAGATCAATTTCTTTATTCATGATTTTGATTAAAGAAAAGAACACTATATCAGGACATTATGAATTAAATTCTAGAAGTTTGAAATTTTTCAAAAACCTTTATCACTGCCAAACAGCCCAATATAACCATATTTCTTCCCAATTAAATATAATAGCCATTTTAACTAAATACTGAGAACTTGCTGAGAAGTTACTCTTAACATTCTCACCAAATATACCCAGAGCTTCATTAACCTGACAATTAATACATAGCAAGCCTCCTCCCTTTTTATAATAATAGATCCCACCTGTTCCATGAAACCTTAATAAGTACTYATTTATTTTAATATTTAACCTACATATTCTGAATGTTTCCAAGTCATGTGCACAATTAAGCACTTAATAGATGTGTTTCTATTTTGATGAGARTGATTCATCAATTGCATACTTGAGCATACTGAGTGGTGTTCTTTAGTACCACACCTGAGACAATGGAGCTAAGTAATTCAATCAAGTGAATGATTCATTCTCTTCAAATAATGWGTCAGATACAAATTGGCATTTAAACTCAGGTCTTCAGTTGCACAAAATTTCTTAGATCAAGGGTCAGCAGCATCTTCAAAGAATTTACCTAGTGTATGTTCATTCATTCATTCCTAAGAGGGAGTTGCTTAGCCCAAAAAATAGTAAGAAAGCATTATAGTCCTAGATCCATGGAAAACCACTTCTGGTTTGGGAGGCAATAGGTTGCCAGTTAAGAAATGGTAGTCAAGGGCTGGGGATGTGGCTCAAGCGGTAGTGTGCTCGCCTGGCATGCATGCGGCCACAAAAACAAAAGATGTTGTRTCTGCCGAAACTAAAAAATAAATATTAAAAAAATTTCTCTCTCTTTCTCTCCTCTCTCTCTCTCTCTCTTAAAAAAAAGAAAAAGAAAAGAAATGGTA